TCAGGGCTGTCCTTGCATTCTCCATTCCCTCTTACCCTCCATGTAACAAACTTGCTCTGGCTGCAAACTGTAGGTCAAGCTTTTTTTTTTTTTTTCTTGGCTCCAATGCTACCAATTCCCTGCCAAGAATGTGGTTTATTGCATGCAAATGTTAGTCAACAGTTACATTATCCCAAGGCAGCTTTCATTCTCTTTTTTTTTTCCTCCTCTTTCGCTTCTTTAAAGCGATTTGGCACCAAGTAGTGTAAATGTTATGTCAGCACCAGGAGCAGTTTAAACTTGATGGATGTGTTCGCTGCTAATTGACAGACGTTAACTGCTGCTTTCTCCTTCACTTGGGCACAAACAGGAGTTCTGCTTCGTTAAGGCTGATTAAAACTCCACAGCCCCATCGTTAGGGGAGGGATTTTCCTATTCTCTATTAATCAAGGGGAGATTTATCCTCCGGGAAAACTTTTTCTGAGCTGTTCCATTGCGATTGATGCTTTAACACTCTCGGCTGATTTGATTATCCAAACGGTTCAGCCCTTTGCTTTGTCCTAGGGCTTTGTTCTTGGGGAAAAACAAGGAAAAGCCAACTGGAAGTGTATCTTCTGGCCAGAAAGAAGCCACTTAGGGCTGGGAAGGAGAGGAGGGAGGGCAGGAGGTTTCTCATCCACAGAAACTGTGATGGAGCTGCTGTCGCATCCTTACTGTGACCTGTGTCACACCCAGAGCTGCTCTGGCAGGTGCCCACGCTGCCCAAATCCTGCTCTTTGCTGTATAGCAGCGAATTTTGGGGTGCTACAGCCTTTTGGCTTGGGTTAGGAGTCAGGGAGAGGCTCAGCAGGACCTCAGTGCTGGGAGAGGAGAGTCACTCCTGCCTGTCACATATTGTCCCTCGTGTCCAGGAGCTTCTCCCATCCACAGCATCAGCAGGTGATGGGAGCAGAGCATGGAAAGCTGTGTCTCCCTAAGGATTGGGCTGCTGAAAGTGCAGCCCCAGCTCATCCAGCTCCCCTGAGACTTCATTTTGCCATTTGCTGCTGCTTTGGCAGCATTTTGATTCTCCTGTTAAACCTATTGGAATACAGAATGAAACTGAGAATGATGGTAGTGATTTCAGCTCACTTTTCCCTCTGGGAAGAGCTGCTGCCAAGAGCAGAAGGGAGGGAGTGTGTTCATGGCAGCTGGGACCAAGGTCAGTCCCTCTCTGCCTCTGAGAGGAACATTCACACCAAGAACTCCTAGGATGAATCCTCATTTTTCTGGTCCTAAAGATCCCAGTTCTGCCCCTGACTGGGATTGCAGGGCTGGAAGGCAAGGGCAGAACAAACTGGGACCAGTGTTGTAGGGCAAACCCTTGAGGGCCACTGGGATTGTGCTTAAATTGTGAGATTACAATTAGTTTGGGTGTGATAAAGAAAGTTTTTCACTGTATAAACTCTTTCAGGACATACTTCCTTGCTGCTCATTGGGTGGGAAAAAGGATGCTCAGAGGTACTTTGGATATTGCTGGGGGAGGGATGGAGCAGAATTGGGTGCTAATCCCCTGAAAATAGTGATGGATGAGGAGTTATCACCTGCAGAACTGTGTGAGCTACTGCTTGGGACAGTTTATCACATTAAACCCCCTGGAGGGAGATGTGATCTCATAGGACCATTTCGTGGCAGACTCAGGGAAGAAAAGAAACCCAAAACCAGGATAAAACCCCACAGAAGCAGTTTAGCGTAGTAAAGATTCTGTGTTCTTTATTTCAAAGGATAATAAAACAGTATCAGATAAACCAGTATCAAAAACCATGTACAAAAATAGCAACTATTTGCACTGAACCAGCAAAGTTTAGGGTGAGCTTTTGGGACCTGGGGCACAAGAAGGTTCTACTACTGCTTGGAAACCATTAGCAGAAATAAAAAGGAGCTGTGGCACTAACATTCTCCCAAAGAAGCAGCCAAGAAATTCAGTTTATATTTCATTTTCAGTTTATAGTTCATTTTCCCTGCCCAGTTCAGTCCTTCCCAGCACAATGTGCAAGGGACACACAGTGATCCCTATCCAGGAGCAGCTCAGGGATGCTCAGAGCTATCCCTATCCAGGAGCAGCTCAGGGATGCTCAGAGCTATCCCTATCCAGGAGCAGCTCAAGGATGCTCAGAGCTGTCCCTATCCAGGAGCAGCTCAAGGATGCTCAGAGCTATCCCTATCCAGGAGCAGTTCAGGGATGCTCAGACCTGCTAATCCAGTGTATTTAGTGCAATTATAATGTCCCTGTGTCCATGTAAGCAGCATTCCAAGGGTTTGGATGAGCCTGTGGGAGATCCAGGAGATGCTTTTAGGGGAGTTCATGCCTAGCAAGGACTTGGCTTTGAGGCCATAAAGGGCTTTTTGTTGTTGGCTAAGTGCAAAGTGGCTAAGGAGCAGAGCTGGGATTGAAACACATTGTAACAGGGGAGAGGAGATGTCCTTCTCTCTTGAAAAGCAGGAGGGAGGATAAGCAGCATCAGGGAGAAAAAATGTTATCTGGAGATATTAAGAGTTACTTTGAGGCCATTAGGCAGTGACTGCTTGTCCTCCAAACTCAGCAAGAAGCTTTGATAGCAGAGAAAATGAGCATCTCCTGCAAAGGGCTTCAGTCTGTGTGTTCTCCTCTCCCTGCCCTCCCTTCCCTGGAATTTTGCCTCATCCACATACCCCAAACAGCTTTGCCTTTGCTTTAAGAGCTCACAAGCTCCAGCAAAGGCAAAAAGAGCAGTTCCCAAATAATCCTGTGATAAGGAATAAATCCAGTTTCTTCCCATTATTGTCTGTTTTTCCCAGGAGGGAATTGGAACACTGGGATTTTGAATTCCCTGTCAGAAAGAAGAGGCACCACAGGAGCATAGTTGGAGGTTCACAGGGAAGGAATCTTGGATTTTCAGTACAGAAGATTCAATTTGTTCCAGCAGAGTGTGCTGAGTTACACCAGCTGAGAAACAACATTCCCTGTCACTGAAATCTCATCTATTTCTACACTTTTCCCATGGAATTAGTGGCATCTAAAGTCTTAGGTATGATCAGTAACAACAAAATAAATCTCTGTTATTCTGCTAGTGCAAATAGGAGTTTTCCACTCAGGATGACTTGGGATCATCTCTTGCTGCCCTGAGGCCCTGACACAGGGAATTGGGCTGATTCCATAAAATCTCAGAGTGCTTGGAGTTGGAAGGGACCAAAAATCATCTCAGAGGCACATGGGGTGATTTGTGGGGGTGTCCTGTGTAGGGCCAAGAGTTGGACTTGATGATCTTCATGGGACCCTCTGAATATTCTGTGATTCATAGGATGTTAAGGGGTTGGATGGAGCTTAGAGATCATCCAGTGCCAACTCTCTGCCCTGGGCAGGGACATCTCCCACCAGAGCAGGTTGTTCAAGGGTTTAGCCAACCTGGAATGAAAACTGCCAGGGTTGGTGTAGCCACAGCCTCCTTGGGGCAACCACAACCTCCTTGGGGCAACCAAAACTTCCTTGGGGCAACCAAAACCTCCTTGGGGTAACCACAACCTCCTTGGGGCAACTTATTGCCAGAGTCTGTGCTCTCCTTTCACCCCCTCCACCAAATTTCCTTTGCAAACAGAGACTTTGCTGCTTTGCAAGTTGAACTCTTTGAGCTGTTGCTATTTTAAAGAGCTTCCAAGAGGGGAATGTTCCAAGAGGGCAACACCCGGATATGCAAACTCATCTGTCATTGCCCTATTGTCCCTGTTCTCCAGCTCAGCTGCTTTGCCTTCCCACGCCTGCTGAGGCACCAGCAGGGTTGGCATCGATGCCCTGGGAGGGCACAGGGGCAGGTTTGGGTTGGGAGAAGCTGCCACAGCTTTATTCCAACCACACATCCCACAAATCCACGTCCCCAGCTGCAGCTCTGTGCCATCAAACCCTTCAGGGTGGCACAAAGAGGTTTCATTCTCCCCTCAAACCATATGCAGTGCTCTAGGTGGAGGTTGTGAGGCTTCCTGACAGCCTTGGGAGGCTCTAAGACCCCTCTGGAATCATTAGTGATTATGGTATGGATGGCAGAAAAGCAATTTGGGGTCTTTTTTGTAATGTTTTAAGCCTAATTTTAGTTGCTGCAGTGAGATCATGTCACATAGCTCAGCAGAAGGTTTTGGTTTTGCCCTGAGCAAGGGGCAAAAGCTTTGGGGGGTGCAGAGGGTTTAGGAAGGACAGAGAGGGACAGACACTGTCCCTGGGGTTGGACCATCCCTTTCTGCCCCCAAACATTGTGCTACAGCTGCAGCTCACAGACTCCTGGAGTGGTTTGGGTTGGAAGGACCTTAAATCCCATCTCATCCCATCCTGCCATGGGCAAGGAAACCTTCCACCAGCCCAGATTGCTCCAAATCCCATCCAGCCTGGCCTGGAACACTCCCAGGGATGGAACAGCCACAGCTTCTCTGTCCAACCTGTGTCAGTGTCTCAGCACCCTCACAGGGAGGAATTTCTTCCCAATATTCTAACCTAAATTTCCCCTCTTTCAGTTTGAGCCCATTCCCCCTTGTCCTATCACTCCAGTTCCTGCTGGAGAGTTCCTCTCCAGCTTCCTTGGAGATTCCTCCTTCCCATCAGATAGTGAAAAGCTGCTCTGAGGTCTCCACACACCCTTCTCATCTCTAGGATCATCCCTATTTTTCCCACCCCATGCCATGGACAGGGACATCTTCCCCTAGCCCAAATTGCTCTAAACCCCATCCAACCTGACCTGAAACACTCCCAGGGATGAGACAATCCCAGATCATTACACTAAAACAAGCTGAATAAAATCTTGGCCTTTTTGGAGTAAAATTTTGGCCTTTTTATAGTTATTCTACTGTTAGTAACAAGAGGTTTGTGCTGCAATTAGAAGCTTCTGCTTGTTGCTGCCAATCCCTGCCTTGATCAGCCCTAGCCAGAGATGCAGTGCTAAACCCTCACATTGAAAGCAAAACTGCTGTTTTCTGCTAAACCTTTGAGGTTTCCTCCAATCCTTGAGGATTTTCTGCTGCTACTCCCAGGAAGGACTCCAAGTATTCAGGTAGTAGAGACAGGGCAGGTAGGGCCAAGTGCCCCTGAAGGTAAACAGTGATGCTCCAGAGATCTCAGCCCCTTTGTGCCCAACCAGGTGTGTGTCCAAGCTGTTGATTCCTGAGGTCACTTGTCTCCTCTTGGTTTTGTACCTCCTGTTTTGGAACCAGATCTTCACCTGGGTCTCGGTGAGCTGCAGGTGCTGGGCCAAGTGAGCTCTCTCAGGGGCTGAAAGATATTTCTGGTGGCTGAATTTTCTCTCCAGTTCAATGACTTGGGAGTGGGAAAATGCTGCTCGGGAACGCTTGGCTGGCCTGGAGGGTTGGGGGGGTTTGGGGGATATGGGGGACAGGGAGGGTTGGGAGGACAGGGAGGGTTGGGAGAGCTGTGGGGGCACAGAGTGGGCACATCCTGGCAGCAAAGTTTCCACTGGGACATCTGTAGGAAGAAAAAGAGTTGAGAATTAACCACTTGGAAATTGTCCAAATCACTTGAGTTTTTTTTCCTCTTCCTGAGAGCAAAAAGTTCATGTGATTGATGCTATTGATAGAATGAATAGTGATAGAATATTTGCATATTAATGAGCATTCCCCAGATTGGAGTCATGGAATCATCAAGGTTGGAAAAGACCTCTAAGAACATCAAGTCCAACATTGACATGTCACTGTTAGAACCCCTAAATCCTAACCCACCTCCTCCAGACACCTCCTAAACCCTTCCAGGGCTGGTGACTCCACCACGACCCTGGCCAATATTCCAGTGCCAAATATTCCTTGGGAATATTTAGATTTAGTGATGTGAAGCTCAGCTGAAAGTCATGGAAGGGAGTTCTGTCTGCCTAAAACACATTCCTTAGGTCATATCTGCATGGAATGGCAGGGACTGAGAGGAAAGGGATGGATGGGGAGGGATGGGATGGGATAGGATAGGATAGGAATGGATGGGGTGGGATTGTGAGGTAACGGATACTACCACGATGGGATGGGATGGGATGGGATGGGATAGGATAGGACAGGATAGGACAGGACAGGACAGGACAGGACAGGACAGGATAGGACAGGATAGGATAGGATAGGATAGGATAGGATAGGATAGGATAGGATAGGATATGATAGGATAGGATAGGATAGGATAGGATAGGATGGGATGGAATGGGATAGGATGGGATGAAATTGGGTGGGATGGGATAACACCCCCAGGAAAGTGTGTCCTGCAGTGCTGGTAGATCTCCCCCCACCCCCCAAAGTTTCTTGCTAAGCACAGAAAAACATCACCAGCTCTAAGATTTCCAGTCCAAAGTTCCTATTTTTAGGCACTTCTTTGAAACCTCCTCTTGTGCCTAGAGCAGAATCCTCATTCCCAAAGAAAACCAACCCCAGAGGTGGCTCTGGAGTGAGATCTCAGTGCAGCTCAGGCTTCTTTTCCCATTAAACAGCCCCAAGGCAATGCCAAGACATTTTAGGGCACTTTTCCATCTTCAGGCCTCATGTGCCACCTTAGCTTTGGCCTTGGATCTCAGCTCCAGAGCAACAGCTCAGTCTTTGCCCCAAGTATTCCTCATGGCCCTGATGGATGCCCTGAGCTCCATCCCAGAGAGGTGCTGAGTTCCTGGGAATTGTCACCAGAGCTCTCCAAACCCCTCAATTCCATGTATTTATAATCCCCCTCCCTTTTTTTTTTTTTGTATTATTGAGCAGGAAATAACCTTTTTTTTCCCTGCCTTTAGTCCTTTCTTTAGTGCATTTTGTTAAGATATGAACATAACACTTCAGATAGTAACAATGGAGTGAATTCCCAGCTGGTGTAATTCCTGTAAATCCCAAAACTGGGCTGGTTTAGGCTTTCTGGGAGGTTTGGAGTGGCTTTTCCTGCTGCACTGCTCAGCCTTGTGGCTGTTTCTCAACTTGCTTTCATGGAGAAGCTGCTGTTAATAGAATTGCAATGCAAAGCCAAAATTCCCCTGGCAAGAGCTGTTGGGGTGAGGAACAGTCAGTCACTAGGGACTTCCAAAGGGTCTTTTTGGCTGGATTAGCTCAGCCTTAGACAATTTGGGCAAGGAAAGGCTCAGTTCTCCCAGCCCTGCCTGGGCAAGAACCACTGCTCCCCCAAACTGGTGTCTCAGTTGGATTTGGGAATGTTCCTTCTTCAGTCCCTGCCCCAAAGTGTCTCTGCTGGGACCTTCTGCTTTCAGAGGGAATTTGTTTCCCAAGATATTGTGGAAGTGCATCCACTGGGATGGGTTAACCAACTTTTTTTTTAGGCAAGTTCAGATCTCGGAGTTATTTGAGGCAATTTCACAAAAGTTTTCAGGCTGTTACTGATTCTCTTGCTCTGTCCCTGATAGAGCTTGGATGCTCCTGGTGTTTAATCCCAGTGTGGCTCCAGCACCAGGGGTTGGATCCTGCCCCTTGGTTGAGCCAAGCATTGACATTTCTGATCCATTCCCTGGCCCAAGAATTGACACTCCTGATCCATTCCCTGACCCATCACAGACATTCCTGATCCATTCCCTGACCCATCACAGACATTCCTGATCCATTCCTTGCCCCAAGTACAGTCAGTCCTGATCCACTTCCCAACATGAGCACAGACATTCCTGACCCATGCATAGAATTTCCTGATCCATTCCTTGCCCCAAGTACAGTCATTCCTGATCCATTCCCCAGCAGGAGCACAGACATTCCTGATCCAGCCCAAGTATTGACATTCCTGATCCATTCCCTTCCCCAAGCATAGAATTTCCTGATCCATTCCCCAACATGAGCACAGACATTCCTGATCCATTCCCTTCCCCAAGCACAGACATTCCCAATCCATTCCCTGCCCCAAGCACAGACTTTTCCCAATCCATTCCCTGCCTCAAGCACAGACATTCCTAATCCATTCCCTGCCCCAAGTATTGACATTCCTGATCCATTCCCTTCCCCAAGCATAGAATTTCCTGATCCATTCCCCAACATGAGCACAGACATTCCTGATCCATTCCCTTCCCCAAGCACAGACATTCCCAATCCATTCCCTGCCCCAAGCACAGACATTCCCAATCCATTCCCTTCCCCAAGC